ATAGAATCCAGTCTTGTTTATTCATAATAGAAATTAGTATAAGTTGAGCTTTTTTGACATTTTCTTTTGCGATGTGTTCTACGAATATTAAATTGTCTTTCTCTGCATAAAGCAGCATAAAATGGCACAAATGTAATCATGGAAGAAGTATACAAATAAATGCTACGTAAACTTTACAAGGTATAATTAAACTTGTGTAATCATCGAATGCAATGACAATACATATAAGAACGGTCTATACAATGCTGGTGATTTAATCTTTTTTTTTTCTCTATTAAAAATGCAAAAACATCGACATGTTCATTTGCAAATCAATCGTTTGTCAGAATATCATCAATACAATAATGACTAATTACTACGTGTCCAACATGAATCATAACATCACTCCTACAACGTATGTTAGAATTAAATATAAGAGTATTACCTGAACGGAATAATGTGAACATATACTGACATATCAATATATCTCGTACAATACTGATCAATTACTTGTTGCATTTCTTAGTGGTATTTCTGTTCTCGCAGAAAAATCTACAACTTTCTCAACCGGACGAGGCTATATAACAAAAAATTAATCATTTTTAATGTTAACTTGAATGTTATGATATATATATCTTGTAGTTATTTTTTGGCAAAATAAATTTCCCACAAATTCATCTGCATAAATAACATCTTTTCTATTCTCTTGGACACTGCTCTCATCATCAGTGATTGTAATACACTAAGGCTTTTGAGATTCCACATCATCTTTTATTATTTGCTGCTCCAATTGTTCAATATTAACAAGAAACCTCTCATCTATGTAAGTCACCTCTCATCTATGTAAGTCAGACATTGTTGCTAATTGATTCTTGAAATTCAGAAAGAATTTTTTCTTGAGTTATTAGTAAATGAAGAATTTCTTCAAAACCTTTGTTGACGACTGTACACTTTGGTTGCGGTGTGTTGTCACTTGAAATGAAAAATACCAAATGAAATTGGTGAATATGTTGTGAAATAAGTTTCATGGGTGATAGATCGGCTCGTCTTAATTGAACTGGGTTGCTTTTCAATTGGAGCGAGCTAGACATCTCCGTCTTTCAAATCCAAAAAAGAATCGTAAACCTACAATGATCAATCATTGCAATCAGAAAATGAATTGAATTTTCCAAAAAAATAAAGTGTCATATGAGAGAAATATCTGCTCAGGACTGAGCTTCTCAAAAGTTTGATGTATAGAGGATGAGCTCCAGCTCATATTTGTTGGCCACCTTAACATGCGAGGCTAGACGTCGGGTGCAACAAAAGTAAATAGAGATGTACACTCATAAAATCAAAGCTATTTAAATGTTAAATCATTACCTGCTTTGACTTAAAAACATAAATTTTAGATAGTATAAACATCATACTACCATGAGTAGAAAAACAAATCAATTAATATATCCCAATGAATGATTCCACGTTCATTTTGTGATGACGAAATTCACTTGGTCGATAAGAAACTCTCAAATGACAGCAGACCTAAATGAACAAAAATAATGTACATCCTTAGCAAAATTGTAAAGGCCCTTGAGCACACTACAGTTGCACGAAGGAAATAATAAGTTTGTAAACTAAAATTTTATAATATGTTCATCAAAGGGCATTGAATACTCGCTGAATGAAACCTCAACTAAGTCATTCATTATCTGTATCAAAGATTCACCACATGAAGGAGCTTTATCCCAGTGGATTGGTTCTCCTCTGTTGGGCATGCCTACCAATAAGTCAACTTAGTTGGAGTTTATACATAATTCTTTCTCGCCCATCTTGAATATCCTTTGTTCAACATCCCAACAATTCAAGATGTGCAGTGTTAGAACATTATATTATGAATATGGAGGCATATTAAAAAAATGAAATACATTTAAATCTTTCAATGTGTTTGTAGTTTCCTCTGATAGGGTATGTTTGACCATATTAAGAACAGATCTTACCACAGATGGTCGATACATACAGTTGAACATCATTGGGTTCAAAAATCTACAAAAGAAGACAATGCAAAATTGACAATTTGTTAACGCCAAACCAAAATACAAGTAGGATAACACCAGAAAATATCAATTGAAGCAACAATTGTGACTAGCATAAAACCATAATAGCACAAAGAAAAATGACCACAATACCCCCATTTTACCACCAAGAAATATTGATAATGACCCACACAAATACCACAATAACACTAAAATACAACTAAATTACTATCTAAATAATACCAAATCAATCCAGAATACAACCTAGATATGACCTTAATGACACCAAATCAATCTAGAATACAACATACATATCACCTTACCAACATCAGATTGACAACTGAATATAACCAATTTATCAAAAAATACCCATTAAAATAAGAATGCAACAACAAAATAACATTATTACCAATTGTAGACCAATACTACAATAACAGTAACAAAATAACACCAAAGATGTCTGTAATAGCATCACTTCAATATTATAATATCTCCACAATACTGTCAAACTAGCACCTTAATAATACTAAATCAAAACCAGGATACAACATAGATATCATCATAGTAATGCTAACTCAATAATATAATAATACCAAAATATGTTAATAAAAACACCACTTCAATACTACAATATCACTACGATGCAACCAAATTAGCACCCTAATAACACCAAATCATAATTAGGAAACAATATAAATACCACGCTAATAACATTGACTCAACAATAAAATAACACCAAAATATGTCTCAATACTACAATATCACCATAGTGCAATCAAATTGGCACTCTAATAACGCCAAATCAAAATCAGGATACAACATAAATATCACTATAATAACACCTGCTCTACAATAGAATAATATCATGTTACCACTAAAATGATCAATTTATTCATGTTAAACGGAAATAACACCAACTCAACAATAAAATACCACCATGTCTCATTTACAATAACAACATTACCACAAGACCACCAAAGTAGAACCAAATTGCCACCATACTAACAATAACTCAAAATCAGAATACGACTAAGATACCACCAGAATAACACCAAATTAACACCTCTATACAAGAAATTTACCTTCAAAATACCTGCATGAAAATATCAACTCAACATCAAAATTACATCATATTATCACCATAATAACAACAAATCAGCACCAAAATAACCTAATATAAACCCTAATAAACAAGCATAATAACATCCACCGTACATTATTACATAACGAGGATATCACAATAATACCCTCATTAAAACACAAAATTAAAATCATAATACCACCAAATTACCCCTGCAATAACACCACATCACCACCATAATAACACAAACTTAACTCCAGAATACCACAACTTTACCCCAATAAAATCATCACTTCAGAATAACACCAAATGTAGACATATTGTGGTTCAATTCTGGTGGTATTCTACTGGATTTGTGTTGGTTTTGAGTTAGTATTGTGGTAGTTTTTTATTGTATTATAGTGTTTATTGTGATGCAAATGTGATTGTATTATGATAATATTAGTGTGGTAATATTGTGGTATTATGCTAGTTTAATGATAATTTTCAACTGGTTTCACTCGTGATAAATCTTACAACCATAATATTGTGGTAGTAAGATGAAATACTCTATCTTCTAATACTTAATCATCAATTCATATGGTTAAATGAACAAAACAGGGAAAACATATATGAGGAAATGCATATCTTGGTTACATATAGTCAAAACCGTAAAGAATAAAATTTTGAATGCAACTACATATATCTCGGTTTCCGATTTAAAAAAAAAAATACATGATTTCACATCCTAAACCCTAAATCCTGACGCGTGGTGTTGTTTTGGAAAAATTGAAACATCACATTAATTTACGTGAAGAGAGAGAGAGAGACTGTGAATCGTCCGGAGATCGACAATGCGAGGGATTCCAGACGAGTGAAAACCTAGCTACCAAAATCATAGGTAAAAATAGCTCTGTGCAACCCTACTCGGTGGGGATAGAAGAAAATGGAAATTGAGGAGACAACGTGGGGTTTAGTTTTCAAAGCATCAGGCAGGTTCGGGCTGGGTCACTTGCTAACTCTTTTTTCGCTTTTGCTTGTTCTTTTTCAGTGGGTCCGTATGGCACTTTACAGGTGGCGAAACTCATTGGAGTCGGGACGCATAGCTGCGTGCTCTGCGTACGGACTCCTGATACAATATTTCGGGCTCTGCCTCCTCTTCTCTTATGTTTGAACCATCATAGGCTCAGATCGACCCCGCCTTCTTCTTCCTTCCTCTTCACACAAACAGGGCTTCGATTGTACTTGGAAGGCTCTCTTTTACTCTACAAGGCTAGTGTTCGACAATCTCTTGCATCTCTTCTTCCTTCATGCAAGAACCGCACACAGAGCCTTCTTCCTCAATGGCGGAGCCCTTGGCGTTGTCCCTTACAAATGTCGTCGAATCTCTGTAAGAAAAACAAAAACATATGTCCTCTCATTCTACTTCTTCCTCCTACTTCTCCTTCTCCTGCTCCCAATCTCTCCGACTCTCCCTCTTTCTTCTTCACTATCTATATCTATCGTTTGCTCTTCTATTTCCTTCCCCCGGTTCGAATGAAATGTTCGATACCTAAGAAGAAGCCAATCGAGATGAGGATTGTTTCAAATCGTCACTGATCCAATTAAAATCCTTTTTCATTTATTTCTTTTTATTCTTTTTTTAGTTCTTATTTTATTTCGGTTATTACAACATAGGGGTTATTTTTGTGATTCAAACCCATGACCTCTAGGTCCACTGGAGGTAGTATAAACATTGCTTCAGCTCTGCCTTCTAAAAAAATAATGATAAAGAAAAGAAAAATTGGACACAGGATTTTTGATAAAGCCTAGATATAGCATGATAACTTGGTCGTGTTGCTTATAATGTTTTTTTTTTCTGGTGAATATTTAACGTTTTTGCTGTTTTCTCTCAGTTGATGTGTGATTATATCAGCATGGAGTTTGTAATATATACTTATGCTCATCAGGTTATGAAGAGTGGAATTCCTAACTTCTGTGCAGTTGCTTTAGCTCTTAACGATTTGGGGTAAATGTTCAACAGTGTTTACGTCATATGCATTTTCTTGCTTTTGCTTATTCAAAATGCTTAATTTATGCACCCCACTATTTTTTGCTTGTATCATCTAAACTTGTTGATCAAATATACAACTATAGTACCAAGCTATTACTCTATAGGCTTGCTCAATATTTGAAAAGACTATTGCATCCGGAAAAGTTAGAGCCCATGTGAAGAAATTTTTTTGAAGAAGTTAAAAGTGAACCATATTTTATGAACTTAGTACATCTCTCTGAATCATCACTAGTTGCAACAATCATGCACGAAGGAAAAAGAAGTGAGCTTATGTTTATTTCGTATGTGGTAACTGCAGAATGTGAATAAAATGCATGCAATGCAATTATATTCAAATTGTAGAAAAGCAAACTAATTGCATGGTAATAAATAACTGTTGCGGGCCTCAAAATTTGGCAACTGGATCTAATGAGATGAGACACTACTTTGAAATTTCATGCTCATTTTGTTAGCATTTTATGATCTAATTTAAGTTTTCTTTTTCATGCAAGTTTTCTACAGTTGATTACCCCATTTGGTGATAAGTGAGAATCTTAATTAGGGCTAGTCATTAAATGATAAGTGCTTAGCGTAGCAGTAATTTTAGTTTAAGTCTGAGAAAATTTATCGCCTTTAGTTCATGGAATGATGTTGAATTTGTTTAAGATCTCGTGATTCCATCATCTCGATTCATTATGGAACCTAATCTACTTAGTTAAGAAGAGGCAGTTGATTTAACCTTCTAAGTTTTTTGTTATCAATATCCATGAATTATATCATTTAATGGACCGTTACTTGGGTTGGATATTTGTCGGGGATGCTTTCAAGTAGACCTCAGCTAATGGAGAGCTTTGTGTCTTATAAATTTCATTTCATAATTCACATCCTTGAAAATTTGTGCTATTGGGAAACTTCAATACTTTGGCTGTGATTGTAATTTACTGGTACTATTTTACGGCAAATTTTATGGTTAGAAGGCCCCAATCACAACCATACTTTATGTGATGTTGTTTGATGGTAAAATGCCTTGGTTAAAGGATAAGTGTTACTAATTTAGTTACATTAAATCTTATATTTGATATAACATTAGCACTTTATTGGTTGAGGTTAATATTTAATTTATCACTTTTGTCGAGGATAAATGAATTGTTAGTTTTAGGATAGTAGATTTCACTTGTAAATTTTAAATTTTGTATATTTCTTAATTTTTTTTTCTTTTTTCAAGGTTTAAACTGTAAAGGTTCTTTTTTTTCCTTCATTAGTGGGTATTTTGATTTAATCTTCCAAGAAGTAGAGGAGGCTTTAAAGGAAATCAAGGGTGGAAAGTCTGTAGGATCCGATGAGATCCCAATTGAAGTGTGGATATATTTAGGAGATTTGGGAGTTTCTTGGCTTACTAGACTCTTTAATATTGTTTGTTTTAAAAACTAAAAAGATGTGAGGAGTGGAGGAAGAGTATTTTGGTCCCCATTTTTAAGAATAAAGGGGATGCACAAGAGTGCAAATTATAGAGGAATTAAGTTGATGTGTCATAATTTAAACTTATGTGAGAGGGTAATTGAACATAGGTTAAGACGCATTACAAAGATTTCTCTTAATCAATTTGAATTTATGTCGGGCAGGTCTACTATGGAAGCTATACATTTATTGAGAGGTTTGATGGAGATGTTCAGAGATAATAAGGAGAATCTACTATTGATTTTTATTGATTTAAAAAAAACTTACGATAAGGTTCCAAGAGATATCCTTTGGAGAGTTCTTGAGAAGAAAGTTGTTGATATGACTTATATTCAAGTCATTAAAGATTTGTATACTAGAGCTATTACTTGTGTTTAAACTGAAGGAGGATTGACCAAATATTTTCCTACATCAGGAATCGAATTTAAGCCCATATCTTTTTGCTTTAGTTATGGATGGGCTTACTCGACATCTACAGGAGGATGTACCATGGTATGGTGTATGTTTGGATGTACCATGGTGTATGTTTTTTGCTGATGATATCCTTCTCGTGAATAAAATGAGTGAAAAAGCCCAGAAAAAACTTGAAATATAGAGGTTTACATTAGAGTCTTCAGATTATATTTCAGCTGCTTTTTACTAAGCTAAACTGCAGCCGCACCAAACAGGCCCTAAAACTTCTGTCAAGCTAGGAAATCATGTGAATGTTTTAAAAAGTGTTTAAAATGTCCATCATTAAATATGAATATGTGCAAGAGTTAAAGGGAACCTCTGATTGGATGAAAAATGAATGCACAGCAAACAGAATGTAACACAAGTAAAACATTATGCATTTGAAATATGTACCGTTTAGACTGAAAGAAAAATTTTATAAGACGATGGTGAGAATTGCAATGCTCTATGGCGCTGAATGTTGGCCTTTAAAAGAGAAGCATAATAATAAGTTAAGTGTTGCCGAGAAGAGAATAATTAGGTGGATGAGTGGCTTTACACTTAGAGACAAAATGCGAAATGAATATATCCGTGATAGGGTTGGTGTAGCTCCTGTGAAGGACAAAATTAGAGAAAGTCGTCTTAGATGGATTGGTCACATTAAACGTCGACCATCTGATGATCCGATTAAGAGAGTGTAGATGTTTTAGATTCGACTTGTGTTAAGAAAGACAGAGGTAGACCTAGGAAGACTTGGGCTTATTGTATAAAAAATGACCTTAATTTACTAGAACTAAATGAAAATATGACACTAAATAGGACGCAATGGAGAAAAAGGATTCATGTAGCCGACCCCATGTAGGGGGATTAAGGCTTTGTTGCTGTTGTTGTATTTGTGGGTATTTTGATATGAAAGGTACTCTCCAGTTGAAATTTTTAATGTGACTATTATTCTGATTGAAATTTGAGTTAATTATTTTGATTCTTGTTTACACTTGTTGCTTGTTTCTAGAGGATTGGGCTCATAATTTGGATTATTTGAGTTCATTTGGACAGTCATCATATCATAAATTCTCTCACCAATGTTTCATTAAATAGAGAATTGGGTTTGTAGGTTAGAACTTGCGATTTTTTTTTATAATCTTGAAACTAAGACACTACATTTTAAAAATAAATTTTAATAGAAGGCCTTAAGGCGCCTTGCAAATGTACCACAAAAATTATTTGATGAATCTTTAAGTATTCGATTCTCAATCTATAATAATGTCAATTTAATAGATTATTCTCAATTTGCGATTTGGTTGAAGTTTATTATTTGAATATTCTCAAAAGCACAAATCTTGTCCATTCCAGTTTCTATGAGGAAAAATATCAGACTAGTTATAGTGCCTAATTTGACCAAAAAATATAGGTTGAAGTTTTGATTTTAAAATTATTCCCCATTTTTCGCACCTCCAAAACTCATAAAATTTTTTCTTATAAAATTTAAAAGTTTATTCTAATTGTTTTGATTTATAATAGGGTATATTTATTTTCAAATATATAAAAGATATTTAATTAGTTTTTATAATCAATTTCCTAAAGTTTTCCTCACATTGTAACAATTACTGCAACAAGTATTGTAGAATTTATGGTAATGATTATCAAAGTTAAATCTACTAATCGTGGCATGCAACAACAGGCAGTTCTTGTAAAGGGATTATTAAGGACTGTTATTAAACATTAATAACTCACATTTGTAATTTTAATATATATATATATATAT